TTTGACATGTTATAGAAGGACACCTATTTTTTGCTTGTGTTTTAAGAGGACTCTCAAAGCTGCTGTTGTCTTTTTGGTACCAAAACCCACTTCAGTTCTTCCTGAGGAACAACTACTATAGCTGAACTGAACTAAGTTTACAACAGCAACTGACATTGCAGTAATATGCTGTATCTCAGGAAAGTATGTAACAGGCCTTAAACAGGAAGGAAATACATTGAGAAGAAACCAGATAGTTTATCTGTGCATCATTTTGTACTTGCGCTTCCTTCCTAACACTGAAAAACCCATCTGCAAAAGCCCTGCCAAAATGTGCTTATACACACACACACAGACATTATCACTTCGTAGGACGGTACGTTTTATTATCAGGTTATTTTCCAGTACATTTGGCACAGTTAAGGTAAGTATATTAACTTTACTTCCAAATAAAGAAAACAAAGTTGTACTGAATGTCTCAGCCATCGTCAATGAGTTAAGAACTGACAGGAGGTCCAAGTAATCAACCCTGTCTACCGCGCCGAGCTTTCCCCTGGGACACCTCTTCTGATCGTACAATGTATCTGACTGGCATGGATGTAGAATTGCTTTCAATAAAGATTTTATTTCAAGGTTGGATGATTCCTTCCCAAATGTCTTGTCACTAAAGCAAAGTATGTGATACCTGTTATTTTTTAACTCCTGTGAACTAGCATTTGGGAAGGAGAGGAGCATAAAATGTTGAGCTAGAACCTGTTCATCACAAGAGGCTAATTTTAACACGTTCAAATTGATTGGAGCTCTGCAATAGCAAAATTCAGAAAAATGCTGCAGAAAAACAGGCCTATAACACTGCAGTGAGTTGGGGGTTCACCTCACTGAGGTGAGTTGAAGGCAGTTGAGCCATTCCCAGGGCCGAGTCCTTAAGCTAAAACATTATCTTTGTATATGCCTGAGTATATATAGCAAACAGATATTAGCTAATTTGAGGATAATTATTAGTAAGGTGAATCAATGGGATGCACTACTTGGACCCATTAAGGCAGTTCACAGGAACTTACAAACCAGCCCCACGGTCCATCAGGATGAGCAGCTCCGGCTGTGACCAGTGGTTGCTGACAACAGCTCAGCAAAGGTACAAAACCTGCCCAAATGGGCTGTCATGGAATAACCCGCTTAGAGAGGAGTCAGTTCTGAACTCTGTCAGGTTAGTTGTTATACCAAGAGGACAGATGTCATAACGTTTAATTTTTTTCCTGCTTTCTAGGGAGTTTTCTTTATTGCCATGCACCTTTAGATCTTGGTTTCTGTCTCTTGTGGCAGAGACTTCCCTAGTTACATTAAATATTGTGCATAGTGCTGGGGGACAGGATTCTGATAAGAACAAAACCTACTTTTAGCCCTCAGTCTTCTGATTTCAGGGGATGGCATTTTCTACACCTGCCATTCTGGCCCATAATATTTTATCAGCTGACCCGTTCTCACTCTTCCAGTCCCCTCATTTTGTAATGTGTTGCCCCTTAGTCAATATTACCAGTTCACGGAAGAGCAGTAGGATTGTCTTATTGAAAAAGTTTCCTTTAGATATAATTTAAAACACTAAAAGAGCACTAGGCATGGGTAAAACCAGTTCTGCTAAGGGTAGAAATGCCCCTGATATTGAGCAAACATGAATTCTCGTAGGCTGGAAAAGGCTAGGAAAGCAAGACTGAGCAACTTTCAGTGCACCTAGCAGAGGACAGCTCTACTCTCACTCTCCAGCTTACGGTAAAACAGTGCCTTTTCCAGTAGGGTTTTCCTCCCTCAGTACGTTGACTTTTCTCTTTAATTTCTTATATGCAGTAGGAACATCAAAATGTTGATGAATCGGAGTAACTGTTGAAATGCTTTCCCCTCCTCAGCAGTTACTACGGAGTAAAAAAGGATGAAGAACATTTCCTAACACCTAGTGTGATTGAAGTAATAATCCAGTGTGCTCTCTGAATGTCAAGATTAATAATGATTTTAGTTAGAGAGTTTGAAAAGTGTAGGTTTAATGGAACTAGAGCGCCAAACTCACCATACAATGACCCTCTTAGCTGTAGAGTTGCCCTGCTCTCAGTCACACGCTTTCCAGCTTACAGTTACCTTGGCAACAGCCAAAGCATAAATTCCAAGTATTTTTGCTTATATATCTGCCATTGACACTAGAGCCCTCCTATCAGACACTTCTGCTGTTTTAATACTTCATTAATTTCATTACTATTAATAATGAGAACTGTATTTTCTGCCTATCTACTGATTTATGATCTTAAAGGACTGAAGCCATTATTGAAGCTAACTTATTTGGGGGTAAAAAAGACTCTAGCACAGCATAACGCCCGACAATTTCTTGATATGGTTCCAACATCTGTGGCGCTGGATTATAGACACTTTCTAAAATAATCTTAAATTGATGGATCATTGCTCCTTTCATTTGGTCTTGACAAAATCTCTGGCATTTCCTTTCACTTTTTATGTTGTAAATGGTGGATCACTCTTTCTGCTCTTTTTCTTGCCAAAAAAAAAAAAAAAAAAAAAAGACCCTTTTTTTAGGAATTTTCTCTTTTAACAACTCAATTTCACTACAGTAATAGCTTTAAGTATGTGTATTTGGTTTTGGTTTGCTTTGACTTTCTCTTTTGTGGACAGTTTGAAAAAATGTTATAGAATTTCATTGGTAAATATTTGTAATTTTAAAAAGGCATAACATTCTAAACTTATCATTATTTTATTCAGGCTGGGTTGAATTCTTCCCTTCTCTCCCTCTAGGAGCTGTATTTTATCACAGATTATTTAACTACTCAGACTTTCCGTATTTTTCAAATTTGCTTGGTTTATAGTGTTTTGTATTTATGGTCATCATATGAATATGAATAGATAGAAAATATCAAGAATTTTCAAGAGAGTTTATCAATACAAGAATTATTTTTCTAGCATTAAGCTTAGGGACCTCAAATGCACATGGATATTCTTAGTGCCACGTTCCGTATTGATGAACCCCAGCAGATAGTCGATTCCTCTCCATCGCCAGCACACACCTGGCACATCCTCCCTTGCTTCGTGCTGTACCCTCACCTCTGGGGAGCTGGGAGACTGCAGACCTTGTGCTGGCAATGCCTGGACTCAAAAGCAACTTGTCATACAGGGAGGCACCTCCAGGAAAAAATAGGGGGAATTATTCTGCTAGCAGAAAGATGGCAGACAAGGACAGAGGGGTTGGCCATCCATCTTCCATTCTGTGCATCAGAAACATAGGATCTCAACACCTTACTCCAAATTTACAGATAAAGGCAGTCAGGACCCTCCTCTCCCTTCAGTAAATTGAGCTCTGCCACCCTGACTCTGGTCATCCACTTCCTCCCAGCAAGGTGGCTCTCCTCCAGATTCATCAATGCTGTCCGTTATCAACACCACCTCATTGCAAAGCCAAGGCTGATGCTAAACTGATGATCTCTAAATTGATGCAAGATACAGCTGCTGAACATGTTTATTTTTTTTTTCCCCCCTGGGTGCACTAATATGTCTAACCATGCTGATGGCATCTACCCATAATTTATAAGTTTTCCAATGTCTAGCATGTAACAATCTCAGCAGAAAACAAGTCTTTTTCACAGGGAGGCCCCAAGCTTAATGTATGTGCTTCTGTATAAGTGGCATTAAGCAAAGCAACCTCCTCACCCCCCTAACAAACATTTTTAATTGTGATAAAGATGTACGACGTCTATCAGAAGCCCACACAGTTATTCGGCAACAAAACTTAACTTCTGAGTCTTTCTGAACTCCTAAGAGGAGACGATATGTTAATATTACCACAGAGGAAAGATAATTATTTGTTTTCAATTTATAATAAAGATGCTATATTTTAAGAAACTAATAGTTAAGCCAATCTGATTAGTGCCATATGGAGAGTGTTCTGTGCAATGGACACCACAGTTGCAAGCATGAGGCAGAACTAAGTAATGCTTCCTATTTATATATGGGGGAAAAAAAAACCAAAACCACACCACACACACGAACGTTGATGTTCGAGCTATGTGGTAACCTACAGGATTGGCAGAAATCCACAAGACGATGCTCTTTGCAGTGTGACCCACCCATTAACATGAAAGAAACCTTTAAGCGACTGAAGCCATTATGTCTCATGATGTTTCGTTCACTTATAGCATAGCTTACTGTAAATTCAGCAACAGGTATGGGAAAACAGAGACAGCTATGATAATTTCTAAATTGCTGTCTGGATTTTGAAAAGGTAAACGAGTGACAATGAGAGCTAGGGGTAAAAGCAGAACTTGGAATATTTAAGTTAAAACTAACGGGTTAAGGAAGCATCCATAAATTCAAACATTTACATATTGAAGTTACATTTAGTTCACATTCCTTGGTTGAGCTGCGCAAATTATTTATAAAATATATATCTTCGTTTACAACTCTTTCCAACCTAGGATATATTTTATATTCTGGAGGGTTGAGGGAAATGGATTTTTACTTAGTTCGTACTCACCACTGCGGAGATTTATGCAAAACTGCCTACCTAAACTCCATCCATTAAACCTACACTGTTCTTAGACCAGACTTCTCCATCCTTAATGTCATTCCCCCAAGAATATTAAGTCTTAATACAGACATAAGATCAACTTTTAATAATAATAGTCCTCCTCTTGTAATTTTGTGGGTAATAAAGATATCAAAGGTTATAATCCTTGCCATTATTTTCTAAGTCATCTCATTAAGGTATGTGGTCTCAGTGTCTTTCAAGAAACTTTGTGTCAGGATAAGGCATGCAAAAGTCTTTAGTTATATAA